TTTATAGCCTTCTATTTCCATCCCTGAGCCCTGCACCCCGGCCCTACCTCCCACTTTCCCCCAGCTCCCAGGAATCGATAAACTCACACAGCCATAGTGGGACTTCAGGGTGCAAGGAGATGGACAGATGGACACAGAGAGAGAAAGGGGCAGAGAAAGACAGAGATGAAGAGACGGAGAAGAAAAACAGAGGAAACAATGGGAGAAGGAGAAGAAGGAGGCAGAAGGGTCAGTAGGAGTCTGAGCTCCCAGTGGAAGACTGAGCTATCTCTCTGCCAATTTAAGTGGCTTGCTTGGATACTCACAGGGACCTTTGTCTGTCTCATAGAGCCCCCTGAGGCTGCTCTGAGCTTCACAGTGGGAGGAAGTGGAGGTCTCCTGGGAATTTAACCAAAGAGGAAGTGACCTTACCACCTGCTTCATCCTCCTTTGCTCTAAAGCCCTCCCAATACACCTGCCACCACCCAAATTGAATCCTCTGTGGTCCTTCCCAAAGCATGCAGGTAGATCTTGGTCCAGTCCCCAGTCTGTCTTCCCGGAACTTTGTGACTGCAACCTCCATGACCCCGGCTGCTGTTCTTCCGTATCCTCTCCGTTTCTTCCCAGGTGGTACCTTCATTGATCCAGCTGGGGCATACCGAGAAGGGAGGCCTCCTGCCTGTACCTGGCTCAGCCCTTAAATTGAAAGCAGCTGGGCATAGAGGTCACCCACAGGGATAATAACACAAGTGTGAACATCGTTTTTACAGCTAGCATTCACCGAGCCAAACATCATACTAATCACTTTACATGAATTATCCTTCTTAATCCTCACCAAGGCCATAGATAGGGAGGTACACAGTAGCACTATCTCATTTTACAGATAAAGGAACGAGAAATGTCCAAGGATATCCCAGGAAACAGAGCTGGGATCCTGGCTCAGGTGACTAAGCCTGTAACTTCATCCCAAATCCCCTCACTAGACCAGGCGTGGTTGTCATACTTAAACTGCTATCACCAGCACCTGGGAGGCAAGGAGGCTCAACTTTAAGGAATCTCTGGGTTACATAGGTGAGGCCCTATTTCAAAATAACAAAGAAAACCAGAACAAATCAGGGGATGAAGAGATAGCTCAATGGTTAAGAGCATTGAATGCTTGTGTAAAGAACCCAGATTTGCTTCCTAGCACTCACATGGAGGCTCACAGCTGTATGGAACTCCAGTTCCAGGGTATCCAGTGTTCTCTTCTGTCCTTCATGGATGCCATCCATGCACAAAATACACATACTCATATGCAGGCAGATACACGCACACATGAAATAAAACAAATCTTAAAAAAAAAAAAACAAAAACAACCCACCTGGATTCCCTTAGCTGTACAAAGCACCCTGGGGAAACACTAAGATCCCAGTAGTCCCTGTGTTGGGAGCTGGGTGAGCTCTCACTGATATGGAGGAGGAAAGAGCATCCTGTGTAGGAAAGCCTGCTTGGATAGGGAGGGGGAGTCTCCCACGTTGGGGTGAGCACAGGCTGTAGGAGGGATATAGATAACCATAGGGCTTTCACGATCCTGATCCTTAAATTCCCTATGATCAGCTTCGGGACCTGGCAGGTGACCACTGCCTGGGGTCATGGATGGACACCAAAAGCCTTAATAACTCATAGCAGACACTCGGCCCAACTTCTCTCCCATGCAGCACCAAGCTGCTGTCAGGGCATAGCGATTTTCCATCACTAGCTGCCTCAGCTAAATCTGTATCAGTGCCTCAGGGGTCAGAGGCTCTGGTAATAAAGACAGGAACTCCACAGCCAGTCCAGTTATCTGTCCCCAGCTCTGGAAATCCTTAGACCAGAACCTGTCAGCCTTTAAGCAGAGCCACTGTAGGTCCACCAGACCCTGGGAGCTTGTGTAGGAAGAGCTGCTTGGCATCCTTCTAGTCTTTCTTGAAGATGAGGCCATATTGCTCTCAGCTGCTGTGGTCTTTCCGCCTCCTCCTGACTCTGAGGCTGCAAAGCTGTAAAGGCTGCTTTCTGAAGGTCCCCCCCCCCATTATTCTTCCCTGCTCTGCATCATCCACAGTCTCCCTGGCAACCTCACTCTCCTCTCTGGTACTCTTTCCTGCCCTGAACCATCCTTCCTACATCTGTGGTTGCTGGGCCACCCTCTGACTTCCACACCACAGTCATCTTTTAGGACCCTGGCCCCTCTTCCCTGTGCCTTTCCTGCTAGGGTCCTGTTCTAGCTGCCTGGCTCAGACACTTCTCAAAGTCACTAATGGTCACCCTGATCCCCAAATATATACCTCTTCTCATTCTCAGTCCCCTGCACTTTTTGATGTCACCATTGGCACTGTAGATTAAACCCTTGTTTTGTTTTGTTTTATTTTGTTTTTTCGAGACAGGGTTTCTCTGTGTAGTCCTGGCTATCCTGGAACTCACTCTGTAGACCAGGCTAGCCTCGAACTCAGAAATCCACCTGCCTCTGCCTCCCAAGTGCTGGGATTAAAGGTGTGCACCACCACTGCCCGACCTTGTAGATTAGATCTTAACATATCTTCTTCAGTCCACTTAGGTTAGGCCACCCTGATCTACACTGGTTCCATGGCCCTTTACTAATAACTCCTTCCTGATGGGCCAGCTACACCTGGACTTGCCCCGCCCTCACACCCAGAGCCAACATCACACTTTCTTCCTTGCATCCCTATCCTCCAGAACTACATGTACCACCAATCCTCCAGTGACACAGGAGTGTTTTAGGGCCAGGGCTGACTTCGGTTAGTTACCAAATCCTGGCTATTCTTTCTTGCTTCTCTGCCTTCACACCCTTGAAGATACTATGCTTTTGTGAGGTCCGGTTGTTATCACCTTATGCCTACCCATTACCTTCCTGGGATCAATCACTTTGGCTATGTCTCCTCTAATTTGAGCATTGCTCATGGCTTCAGACCTCTGAGGACTGATTCTTCCATGATGAGGGAAGATCTCAAAGTAGCAGAAGACACAAGTTTCAGGGATTGAATTGGGATGCCGCCGCTCTAAGCGGTTGTGTGGTCCTTGTCTGCTCTGGTTTTCAATCTGCAAAATAAAGATGATAGCATTTACTTTGGATTCACAACTTTGGAAGTTGTGAGAATTAACAGAATATGAGTTATATAGATTATATATAACAGTGATGTGCAATATTTTAGTGAGTGGAAATTAGCTGTTTGTACCACCTGATGTAACCTCTCAGCTCTACTCCTCTGCCTCCTGAGCACACCTCCACTACTTCTGGCTGTGGGTCTAGGCCCCATCTTGTGTTCCCCCTTGGCTTCCCCACTAATCTTCCACCCCCTCCAGCACTGGTGTATAATGCACCCTCTCGATTATCATGTCCGTCTTAGAATCATGTTAACTTTTTTTCCCGAGACCTTGGAGATGCTGTGTGCCTGTGAGCCCTTTATTCTTAAGTTAAAAAAAGAAAGCACAAAGACACAAAGTGATCCATGTGAAGCCATGTGGCTCCTTAATGACAGGAACCAGCACTGTCCCTGTTGTACAGCCTGGTATACTTTCTAATGCCTTCTGTGCCCCTCAACCCCTGTATCCAGCTCAGCTCTGCTTGGGGTCAATGCTGGGCTCTATCTCAGTCACTTCTTCCCCCAGTTCTCCGCCTTCAAGGGTGGGCTCTTCCTCTGATAAAGAGCTGCTTCATTGCCCTAGGATACCTGGCATTCTTTAAATATAAATCCCCTCCCAACTTTCTGGCATTGGAAGAATATGTCTGTATAAGTGCCTACTTATGTGCCTATAAGCGATCAGTAAAAGCTAACGCTGAGAGACTCACAGCTTGCAACCTGCCTGGATGGGAGATGAGAACTTAGAGTCCTGTTGGGAAGAGCAATACTGAGTTGGACAAGGTGGGAGGATTGGGTTTGTAGAGAAATGCATTCCCCAGGCCCTGGGCTTGGTCTCTCGTGTTAGGGAGCTCTATGATTTTCTGGACTCTTGCAAGGCAGGTTTATTCCTCCGGGGAAGGTTTGATTTGTTCCTCTATTTCCCGGGGGTGTACAAGGATGCTCCTTAACTAGTCCTGTAAAGAAGTTCTGACTCACGTAAGACCCGTAGGAAAGAAAAGGAAGCTGTAAGCCAGTCAGATGAGAAGAAGCTTGTGTGGGGCCTGATGCCTGGCAAAGGGACAGGTGCTGTTTGTTGTGGGGCCACCTGTGGCCCAGTCCCTGCCTTTCTGTCTTCTCTCCTTCCTGCAATACTGGAGGAAGCTCCTTCCCTGGGCTCTGGAGGATCGTGGTATGGTTCTGCTTGGAAAGCTGGCTAAGATGACCTCCAGATCCAGAGGTTCCTGGTACTAGGTGGTAAATATGTGACTGAGGAAGGAAGGTGGACCACTAATTTGGGTTCTTCCTCTTAGCCCCATGCTCCTAGAAATAAGACTCAGACTCAAAACACATTTACAAAGACCCTGGCCATATAGCCAGGCTCGATATAGTCTTCTCTGACTAGATCATAACTTAAAATATCCCATTCATTTTAACCTACAGTCTGCCATTACCTATGCTCAGGTGCCATGGGTCTGTCTAGTCACATCTTCCCTGAGTTCTTTCTGCCTCCCAGATGTCCCACCTTCTATTCTACCCTTACCTATAGGCCATAGGTTTTTAAATTGACAGATGATGCATCTGTACAATGTACAAGATATTCTTTCTGCACTCACCCCTCAGAAATGAGAAAGACACTGTTCTCCACTCGGTTGTGCCCTAATCCTTGCTTCCCAAACTCAAGCTGCAGTTCAGTTTGACACTCAGGGCTCAGGGCACCAGAGAGTGCAGACCTCCCCTGCCCAGAGCTGTGATAAGTGGATCGTGAATCGCAGAGCAGACAGGAGGGAAGCCTTACATTTTACAGCAGTGGGTGACGTTGGGGGGTCAGGGGCAGGTGAGTTAGGACAGGGGCTGTGCTGGGCAGGAGAAGCCTGGGCCTGGCATGTGGCATGTGACCTGTGACAATGTTGTGGTGCTTTGCAGGATCATCCGGACCAAAGTTCAGCAGCCTTTCCATCCAACGCCGGATGGGGCAGGGACAGGAGTGACTGCCCCTGGCCACACCATCGGTAAGAGGGCTCAGGGCAGAGGGAAATCAACTTAGAAAATGCCAGAAAACACAGCCCAGCCCTGGGAACCGTCTAAGCCAGAGAGATCCAGGGCTGTCCGCTGTCCCAGCTCACTCCTTTCCCTCCTAGGGCCTCTCTGGTGATAGGAGTTCAGTGCCTCCCACAGGTCCTCTTCAGTCTGTGTCCCCCCTTCCCTTTTTTCACCTCCCCTTTCTTGCCCTCCCCTCCTGCCCCCAGCCACTTGTCTTTGAGCTTTCCGTTAGCCTCTATTTGATTCAGTCTCCTTCAGTATCCTTCCTTAATTCCCATGCTCTTCCATGTTTTCTTTTTTATTTAACCTTAAAAAAAAATATCTCTGGGGGAGTGGGTGGAGAGAGGGCTCAGCAGTTAAGAGCATGTATTGGTCTTACAGAGGACCTAAGTTTGATTGCCAGGACCTACATCAGGCAAGATGCATAACCACCTGTAACTCCAGTTCCGGAGGATCTGATACTGCTCTGACCTATTCAGGAATGTGCACACACATGCACATGTACACACGCATGCACATATATACATACATTTTAAAAGTAGATCTTTTAAAAACAGTTGTTGGGGGGATGGAACCCATAACCTTATGCATGGTAGGCAAACACTTTTCCAAATGTCCAGCCTTTGATCTTTCTCTTTTCCCATCTCTCCCTTCTTTCTCAGTCCTCTCCCCTCCCCTCATGAGTATGGCTATGGACCTGTCTGTCTGTCTCTCTCCATCCTACCTTCTGGCCTCTTTTCTTTTGGCCTGTTTCCTCTTATCTCTTTGTCTCTGTCTCATGTGCTCTGTTGCTCTTTGCCTCTTTGAACCTCTGAGCCCTCCACGGTATCTCAGAGATACAGCCCAGGCCTGCCAGAATTCTGCAGTCTTCACTCTAGTATACATACACACACACACACACACAGAGAGAGAGAGAGAGAGAGAGAGAGAGAGAGAGAGAGAGAGAGAGAGAGAGAGAGAGAGAGAAGAGGGAGAAAGGGAGAGGGACACGCACGCACACACGCACGCACGCACACTCTGACATCTCCTTGGTCTCCTTCCCTCTTGACCAGCGGGAGATAGAATTGGCTGGTCCAGCACTGCTGGAGTCATGCATGTTTCCCCAGATCCTGGATTAGTGTGCTGGAGGGAGGGTTGTACTCAGATAGACCTGACCTCATCATAGTATAGTGAATGGGTTCACTAGTCACTTCCCCAAGAGGGAATAGGAACCTCTCCAGTGATTTGAAGACCAGTAGCAACTGGGAGAGAGAGCTGTTTCCAGAGAACACTGAGAGCAACTTGTGTCTTCCCAAGTCTAGGAGACAGATCTTAGGAAGCCCTAGATGCTAAATCAGGACTGGTAAAGACTCCACCCAGGAGACTGAGAAGCGTGCTGGGGTTTTTTTCAAAGGATTTGCTCAACCTGTGGATTAGGTGGGATTGGAAGAGTGTGGCTCCAGAGAGCACAGTTGGATCTGTGCTATCCAGAAGGTCACTGAATTGCTTTCTAGACTGATAATCTTGGCAGTCTCTGGGCCTATACTACATCCATCTGAAGGGGGGTTGGGGGGGGCTTGAGGGACCAGTAAACGCCATAGATGGCAGAGGAGGCCTGGGTCGACCGGTCACCACTTTCCTCAGGCTGGGCTGACAGCCTGCAATGTCTGTCTGTGGGAGTGATTCCTCCCTCAAGCCTCAGAGGAAGTTAAGCGGATATGGGTTCCTTGTCCTTCCTTCTGCCCTCTGTGCCTGTCTGTCCCTGCCTGGGGCTTCAATCTCAACTGCTGTCCTGATAGTGTCTCCTCCTTCTTCCGTCCAGTTCCCAGCACAGCCTCCCCTCCTGTTTCCAGCGCCTCTAACGACCCAGTGGGATCCTACTCCATCAATGGGATCCTGGGGATTCCTCGCTCCAACGGTGAGAAGAGGAAACGCGAGGAAGGTAGGAGGGGGATGAGCTCTGGCTCCCCCTTTGCATGTTTTGTCCTTGGACTCTGAGCTCCGGTTTCTGCGGGCCTCGCAGCTGCTCTGCTGTGAGATCAGTTTTAGCATGGGAGCCTAGGTACCCCCACTGCCCTGCTGGCTCCGAGAGAGGGGGAGGGATGCTGCTGGTGGAGCCACCAGCTTCACCATCTGCTCAGCCCCGATGGTCTCACCTTCTGCTGGGACTCACCCCAGCTGTCCCTGTGGGATGCCAGGAGGAGTGGCATCAACTGTTTACCTTGAGAAGGTTGTAGAGGTTGAGGAGACAGCTGGTATCTGACCCAGGGATGAAAGGCCAGCCTACTTTGGCCTCACTTGATCTTTGTTAGAAGGTAGCAGCTGATACAGACATGGGACAGTCCTGAAGTCCTTTCTCTGTAATACATGGACACGGCTCCCACTGAAGTCTCTTGGGGAAGCTGGTTGTGGGGCCTCGCCATGCTATTCATCATGAGAGTGGGCACCATTCTGACTCCCACTTCTTCTCCCTCTCCCTGGGCCCTCAAGGGACAGCCAGTACCTTGGGTAGCATAGATCCAGGAATGAGGAATTAAGAGGGGGACACAGGATGAAAGAAAATTAGAGGAGAGACTGGTAGGTGTACGCATGGGACAAAGTGCTTTTCAGAAGCTCCGGCTCTAGTGGTGTATTGTGACCAGCCAGTTTTCTTCTGGTGTTTGAGGCCTGAGCATCCAGATGGACAGACACCAGTACCTCAGGCCTACTTCCAGCTCCAGGTCTCTTAGGATCTCAGCTAAGAAAGTAGTAACTTCTGGTCTCTGCAGGGTGTATAGGATTCTAAAGACAGTCTCCATAAAATAGAACCTAACAAAGATGAACGTTAAGGGAGTACAGACCATATGTTCCATTAGCTCAAGGTAGTCATAGTTCTGCCTATTGTCTCTGCACCTGAACCGGGCGGTGTCTCCTTTTCCCCCTTCAGAAATGTTATGGTTGGTCAGTAGGTTCTGTGGTCATACCAAGCATAGACAAGCTCTTCTTGAGGAACAGCATCAGATACAAAGCTGACATTCCTCAAGCTGCAGTCTGGATTCTCCAGACCCAGGCAGAGGGAAGACAGCATATGAGCCCTGGCCTCCAGCAGAAGGGACAGAGTGCAGGAGAGACCTAGTCCTGGCAAGACAGTGATGACCTGGCACTGGCCTCCTGCCAGAAGCCCTAATGGTCTCGTTTCACAGGGAAACAGCTTGTCTGGCTCTATTTCTCCTTCTTCCAAAATATCCAAACCCATTTGGCTGCCACGGCCTTTGCCACTCACTAAATTTCATTGTGGTTGTTTTGGCGGCAGCCCCTGATGGGCAGGGGGAGGCTACCAGAGAAGCCCTAAGCCCCAGTTCTCCCTGGAGCTTCTGACATGTAGGCCTCAGCCAAGCTCCCTGGCACCCTGAGTACCTTGGTAGAGTCTGCCTCAAACCCTAAGGGTTTCTCTTTAGCCACCTGCCTTGTTGAGAGTATGAGGTGTCCAGGGGAACCGGAAGGCCACAGGAACGCTTCTGTGCTCTCCCTCATTGGACTGAGGCTAACGTTCTGTGTGCCTTCTGTTGCCTGAGCCTTCATGGGTGGTGAAGGGAGGCTGGGGATACCCAGGGCTGAGCCAGCCAGTGAGGTCAGGAACAGGATGTTCACCCCTCTTATTGCTTACTTACACCCATTGTTTTTAGTCAGTTCAACTCAATGACCCTCTCTGCCTATCAGGAGAATAGCTTGGTACAGAAGGTCCCCGAGGCAAATGAGATATGATTCTTATCCTTAGAAAGTTTATACTCTAGGATATATGTTAAACATTGTATCCAGGGAGTAGAAAGCCCATCGGGTATGGTATAGTGGAGATCTGGCCGTCCCTTTATAGGGGGAAAGAGGCAGGGAGAAAGCTCACTGCCAGGAAAGGCTGCTCTTTGAGGAAGGCCCTGGGTGACAGCTGAGAAGGCTGTTAAGGACAGTGCTATCCTGAAGTTCTGTCTGACACACCAAACCTATGAACAGCAAGGGCAGGGTGGCCTTAGCAAGGATGTGCTGAGTGGGCAGAAAGGATCACTGAGAAGCAAGCCCAAGTAGACAGAGTCATGGGAAGTGGCAAGACTATGCTATCTATTGCAAGAGGGTGGGCTCTTCTGTATCCCTAAGTGAATCTGGGCAGGAAGAGATAGAAGCAGGGTTGGCTTGGGGCCTCCATCAGTGTGGAAGCACAGGAGGCAGCTAGAGTCTTCAGGTGAGGGATAGTGAGGGCCTCAGAAACTCATCTGCTAGGCCTAACCAGGTTACAGGAAGCATCGGGAACTCCGCCATTTCCCCGCTGGGGGTTTTCTTGTCCTGTCTCTACTTTTATTTATTTATTTATTTTTAAACTCATCCTTTCCTTGGACGCTGGGACTGGGAGGGATGCCAGCTTTCCCCAGCCACCATCCCATTCTTGACCCATGGAACCCAGGTGGGAAGGGACAGGAGACCTCACAGGGAGAGCTGGAGGACTCTTCCCTTCCCCCACTCCAGAGGCCTCCAAGCAGCAGGGCCCGGTTTGCATTAGGGAAGAGCTCAAATGATTAAGGATGGGGAGATAATTATGTGTCAAGATGATGTAGCCCAACTCTGCAGTCAGGCCAAGGTAGCAAAGCAGCTGGCAGGCCAGTCCCTTGTCATTGCTGCAGGAGGCGCCTCGGGCACAGCCTGTACAGACACCCAGGTGTGTCCTTCAAGTCTCGGGCCAGGACTTTTGGGTACAGTGGAGATTGACCTAAAGACCTATAGGGTGTTGGGATGAGGCCAGGGATGTATATCTAGGCCCTAGGCCCTCGAGGGACTAGGGGATCGAGTACGTTTTCTCTGGGATAGTCCTAAATGTACCAGCCATGTTGGCTCTCCGTTGACCTCAAGTGTGATGACTTCTCCCTAGAAGTGTCTTGAGGCGAGCTGGATGCCCCTCTGTCCTTCCACCTCATACTGTGGCCCATTTTGTAGCTCCAGCCATATCACGGCGACGGGCACTGGCAAGGGCTATGACTACAGTGTGTGGCAGGCATTAGTGAAGGGCTTCTCAACAATAATGGCTGGTATTCACACTGGCAACACCCAGAACGTTGCTGGCGTTGGCCCTCAGAATGTGGAGAGTGCCACCCTGTATCAGTGATATTCACATCCACAGGGGCTACTCATCAAGGGCCAGTCGGTTTTGACTCAAGGTTGGGTTGGGATTCCCAACCCCTGGCCTGTGGGAGTGTGCAAAACCCCAGACTTTACTTGGAGAAATATGGCACTCAAGAAGGTTGGAACCTCCTCCTAGGGGTCCAGGACCCCAATCAGAAAGACCAGGGAGGGATAAAGAATTTATGTATGAGGCACCTGGGACACAGGCTGTCTCTCAGCCCAAGGAGGAGAAATCCTCACCAATACCCTGGAAACCTTCATTTCCAACCTACAGTTATGGGCAGGTATATGAAAGCTTGATTCTTTGGGAATCTAAGAAACACAATTCCATGAACGTTATACACCATGGCTCCTGTGGCTGGAAAACAGAGTGGGACCCACCGATCTAATCAGACTGAGAAACGAAAGTGAGGCTGGAGATGCTTAAGTGATTGCCTAGCAGGCATAAGGTCCTAGGTTTGATCCCCAGCCTGGAAAGAAACAACAAAACCCGACCACAGAAACCCCATATCTTCTTACCTTCCCCCCGCCTGCCACTCTCAGCCACAGTCTAATGCATTGCTGACCACTGGCAGTGGTGGTAAACACAGAGAAGTTTTATAACTTGTCCAAAAATCCAAGTAAAGTCATATGGTGAGAGTCTGCTGATCTGTGGGAGGGAGGGATGTTGGTATTCCTGAGCCTGCAGGGGGCGTGGTCTTGCATTCATTCAGTAGGTGCTGTCCTTTCTGCTTTGGATGACGCTGTCGCTGGAAAACACTGGTTATTTCTTTAGTTAGCGTCCTCCTAGAAGTTCCTAAGAGCTCAGGTTGTGCTTGGAGTACATAAGGGGACTGAGTTACAGCACCTGTTTAGGGCCCCTGTACTGAGAAAAAAGAAAGCTCACCAAGGCCAAAGTCTCACTCAGCCCTGGCTTAACTGTGTACACTGGCTTTGAATCCTAGAGCTACTCAGCTGAGTGACCTTGGGGAAGTCATTTTATTACCTCATCTACCCTGTCAAATGTAGTGATAACAACCCTTACTTCTTATGGAGAGCATTCTAGAACATCGTGTGTCTAGAGCAGAGGTTCTCAACCTGTGGGTCATGACCTTTTAGGCAGGGCTCAAACAACCCTTTCACAGGGGTCACCTAAGACCTTTGGAAGACACAGATTTTTTTTTTCATTCATTATAACTCATATCAGTACCAAAGCTAGTTATGGAGTAGCAACAAAAATTAGTTTCTGGTTGGGAGTCATCACCACATGAAGAACTGTATTAAAGAGTCTCGGCATTAGGAAGGTGGAGAACCACTGGCCTAGAGTGTTAAGCCAGTTCCATCCTAGAAGACAGATTACTGTATATCTAGGTAAAAGAAAAAAAAGTCTCCTTGGCAGGTGAAGATTTCACAAGGAAATTAAGTTGTTAGAGAATGAAGTCTATTTGGGCCTAGACCCCCTAACCGCACTGGGACACCTTGTAACTCTGGAATAAGCTAATCTAGAAGGGATGGGTAGCTGGCCTCACCTGTACAATTGAGACAACCTTTATCTACCTGTTCACTTGTTGCTCTGTGGCTATCCAGTGGGCCATTGTCACTTTTTTCTAAAAGCGCCAACCAGAGTTTTCTATGCATGTAAAATATAAAAGTCCCCTTCTTTTTCTATTATAAGGCCTTGACTTCCTCTGTCTTCCTGTGCACATTTCTGCTTCTACATGCAAGTTTATATGCCTTGGAGAATATATGCTTGGTCTCTGGAATATATATATATATATTTCTGAGCTATATATTATTTTCTATTGTTTACTCAAGTGTATGTGTGTGTAATATCGCCCTGAGAGCTTGGGAGCGAGGGGGTATGGAATGTCAAGTGCTGAGAACGCATGCGTGTCCTAGGTAATGTAAATGTTTGGGCGGGGTACTGTATGGCTGTGCACCTGCTGACACCAGTAACTGGGGCGAGTCCTGAGCCAGACCTAGACATGTTGAGTCTTCATGCTCCTAACCAATGGGCCTGTGTATAGTTTAGCCCCAAGAGCCCACGGGTATCAACCTACATCTGTTGGCAAGTCAGTAGGCTGTCCTCAGCCTAGGAGGGAGTGGCTGGGCCCCAAGACTAGGGAGACTGAGGCAGAAGAATTTCCCATTCAGGCTGTATGTGATTTGTAGCTCAGAACTTTTGTATCTCTTTGAAGAGGGGCCTGGTCTCCCTGTTTGGGGGTCTGGCCCCCGATCTACCTGCTTGTCCTCCGGGATGACTCAGTGTTTGTCTGTCTCTCATTTACTCCAGTCGGGGTTTACACTGATCCTGCCCACATTAGAGGAGGTGGAGGTTTACATCTGGTCTGGACTTTAAGAGGTATGAGGGCTAGAGGGAACACGGTGTGGGGGTCAAGGGGAATAGCTCGGGGGGGTTGGCGAGAGAACATCAGAGAATGGGCTGAGGGTAGACAGCCAACTGGAGGCAAAATCACAGGCTTTCAGCGGGAGCCCTAGAAGCTAGCAGTCTCTGCGCCTGGATCACTTCCGCCATGGGCCACCGCAGAGGTTTGGGGCTGAGGCCTGGTGGCCCAGAGGGTCAGCCGCTCAGTGGATGGGGGCAGTTTTTCTAGCCCTTGGAAAAACAAAGAGTAGATCGGGTAGTAAAACAAAAGCAAAGGAGACCTGGAAGCACCTGACAGCCCTAATTCATCACGGCCCAAGTTTTTTCCTGTGTTCCCATTATATTTGTTTGTAAAAGTGGAAATCAATTTTGAAGGTAATTTTCTGGAAAGAATGGAAGGGAGGTGGGAGGGCCGGATAAGGCAGAGATGGTAAAAGGAAAAATTTAGGCCAGGCACAGCCCAGGGGCAGCTCTTGGCAAGGTGAAAGAAAATTGCATATTCAATCTCCATCCATGAATCTCCCTCACTGCTACCCGCCTCCTGCTTGAAAACAATGAAGGCTTTTTCCCAGCGCTGGGCAGGGCCTCGGTATCAGCCTCACTTTAACTTCAGGGTCATTAATTCCCTGATTATTGAAGGAGAAGAGAGGGTTGCAGCATCGTCAATTCCAAAGGCACCCCCCATGTGATCAGACACTGGCTGGGGGGGGGGCGGCAGGGTGAGGTGAGGTGCTTAGGAAGGGGGTGGAGAGAGAGGAAATGGGGGAGCCACCTGGACTGGGGGGCAGGAAGCCGGGAGGGTAGAAGAGGCAGTCATTACTGCATACCTCTGTTGTGTTGTTATTGCAAATTAAAAGTAGCATGTTCCACTCCACAGCTATCTTTGGGGAGGGAGGGGCGCTGAGGGAGGTGGGGGATCTTATCATTGCTTCTTCAGCAGACCAGCGGTGGTGTCACCGTGTGAGGTGACATTTGAATTTACAATTCCGCTGAGAAAAGCCATTAATTCACAAATTAACATTTCTCCCTCTCCCTCTCTCTTTAACACTCTCTCCCTCTCTCACACGGATGTGCAAGCAATTGAAAAGACAAAGGAAATAGCCTTAAGGAAGAGACTTTACGGCTAGTCTGTCTGTGCTGAGATTGCTCCCCCTGCTTCCAGATAGATAAACCAATTACCTGAGCAGCTCGGCTCCTGGCCGCCCGTGATCGCCTCCTTTTGTAGGCTGCCTCCATGGCTGGCTTACACTCGTGTATCTCATTAATGGAAACCAGGCGTGCCCTGGTCACCGAGCTCTTCCCAGCTGTCCTTTGGAGGAACCGTGGGAAGACAACCGGTGGTAGAGGAGACAGGCAAGGGGAATTCTGGAGAAGCGGAGAAGCTGTCCTGGCCCTGGATCTCTGGGTACAGCTGGCTATGGCAGCAGGTTAGGGGTGCATGTGCAAGTGCACACTGTTGGAAAGGCAGGCTTGCTCTGACCTGGGAGGAGTGTGGGCTGGCATTGAGAGACAGAGACTGTAAACTGAGTCTGACTCCTGAAGAGGCCTTTGGTCTCCGTGCAAGGGACTGGTGGACTCAGGAGGGGATCTGAGCTCGTCCCCCAGTGGGAAGGCCACAAGGTAGTTTTGCTGACTACATGCTATTTCAGTGGGACAGGATACAGCCTGAAGGAGCTGGGGGAAGTGCTGAGAAGCGACAGAAGACACAATAAGTTGGCATATGTTGGGCCAACAAAGTGAGATTGTACTGATTCCTTAACATAAGTCTAGCGCCTGGGTACAATTGTGCCCACCCGGTGCCTACACATATACAAGCATGCACACACACACACACACACACACACACACACGGGAAAGGAATAAAAGTGAGAGAGAACTAGAAAGGAGGACGCTATCTGATTTGTTTCTTAGAGAATACAGTAGTTCTATCTTACCCACAGGGAAGTCACTCCAAGATCCCTGGTGGACACTTGAAATCACAGAGAGCTCTATATGCCCAATTCTATCTATACGTGCTTTGTTTTTCCCCATGCATACAGACAAAAGTTTAATGTATAGATTAGACACAGTAAGAGATGAACAACAATACTAAAATAGAACGATCATTGTGATAGATTAGGACTCTGAGAGTTAATCTAATAACCGAGGCAGTTACTCAGTGACCAACAGGCGCGTCACGGATACACTGAACACAGGAATGATTCACATACAGGGTGGGGCCGAGCAGACAGCTCAGGATTTTATCTCATTACTCAGAAAGATACACAATCGAAAACCTGTGAATTGTTTATTTCTGGAATTTTTCCACTTAACATTTTTTAGATTTGAAGATAACTGAAGCCAGCCAGAGAAAGCAAACCCTGGAATGAAGAGAAACTGAGACTCTTGGTGGACTACACTGGGGTTTGATGGCTTCATATGTGCTGTGTACTACCTGTGACATGTCACAGACTCTGATTCAGTGCAACAGGTCCCTTGGAAGTCCAGAAAACATGGAGACTCCTGTCTAGGCAAATACTGGGGTTTGATGCATTAATAAGACTCAATTTACACTCATCTCTAGCAAGGACTCAAACCTTGGCTACTATCCAGTTCAAGAAAGAGTTCAGTTCGAAGGTTACTAAGACTCCAGAGAGAGAAACTCATTTATGCACACTCACTCTTGGTTCTGATTTTACCTTCTTGGTAGCCAAGGAAATGGGACTGGCCATACCTACAGTAGGTTCTTTTCTATCTTAGTTAGATCACATATTTTAACTGGACTCTCTAGATAACGTTGGCCATGAGCCTGTGACTCTTCAGAAGCAAACTTAGGTTGTGTGGATGTTCTGCTAAGCCTTTGCACGGGGGCTCTGTGCAGAAGTGGTGTTTATCTGTGGGGAGGTACCAAGTTTAGCCATGGCTGTGAGGGACTGACAGGTGCAGATTTGTAGAGGTAAAACGCTAGAGATGAAAGCCAAATTGTTAGGGTTGTTCCCCAGCTAGTTCATGCTGTTATGGCTCAAGATGGAGCTGCTTAAAGTATTCTGAGGTTTACCACAACAGACGCATTTTCTATCCCTTGACAGATAGTCGGAACAGAGAGGTCAGCTACCCCAGGAGAAAAGACACTGGTGTGCTGCACAGGGCACTGCTGTGTCTCTGCTCCTGAGCACTTAGTGTAGGCTACACACTCTCTGCAAAGGCCAACGGGCTCTCCTCGCCTTCCCAGGGTTTTAGCCCTCATGTGAGAACTCATCACATTAGAATGACTTCTCTTCCTCATCTTCCCCTAGGCAACTGGCCTCCAGCCCTGTATCTTGATCTGGTTACCCCTCCCTACTCCCAGCAAGGGCATCAAGCAAGAAATCCATTGCCCCAGCTCTGCCGTATTTCCCCATCCCACCCCTCGAGCAGACTCTGAACATAGGAAGGAGTAGCCAGGCTCAGAGCTTGTCCTGGGCTCTGCTGCTTGTGGGCTCACCTTCCTGGGTGCCTCATTTTCTGGAGGCCACTGGACAATGGGGAAGGTCAGGCAGCTGGCATGTTGAGAGACTCAGGATGCCTGCAGCCTCCTAGACTAGTGAGACCAGGGAGCAACTCTTCCCCATCCTGCCTTCCTCAGAACCCTGGTGGTTTTGGAGCTGTCTGGGACCCTCATTTTCTGACCCACAGTGGTAGAAAGGCTAGACAGGCTGGGAGAGGGTGGGGCCTGGCGCAGGAGCTAGGAGTCAGTCATGAGCCTCAGAGCCTAGTTACAGCAGAGCCAGTAATTCAAACCATCCTGACCCTTCAATGAACCCAAACCTGCTGACCTTGACAGCACCAGACAAGAGGCCTTGCAAACCTCAACCTGCTGCAGGCCAACCTTCTTTCCCTCCCTTCCTAGCAGCCCTGTGGCCTGGCTTCCAGGTGGCTCCTCATTTGACCATCTTTATGAAATGTCAGCGTACCCTCCCTCCCTCCCCGAAGCAGGCCAGCTTCAAAGGACCCTTTGTGCTCGTCCCCACTAGAGATAGGGCGTGGACATTCCCTGGAGCCTGTGGAGGACCCCTGGCTGTGGCTTTCTCCCATGACTGAATGAGCAGAAGGTGTACCCCTTCCCTTCTGCTCAGTCTATGTGTGTGTGTATGTGCGTGTATGTGTATTTGTATGTTTGTGTGTATGTGTGTGTATGTGTATACACCCATGCATGCATGTGTTTGGGTGCATAGAGGGGCAGGGAAGGTAATAGAGACAGAGAGGATGGGGGAGGAAAGAGAATCCAGAGGAAAGCAACCCCAGGAACCTGCATTAAAGGAAATGCAGTTTATGAAGTTTACACTTTCCTCCTCTGGAGAGCTGGATTCCATCCAACAGCCTCTTCAAGTCTGCCAAGCAGGTCCAGAGGACGAAAGCGTGGGCAGGAGAATGAGTGAAGCAGCGACAGAGGGAGAAATGCTCACACACACACATACATGTGAGCATACACACACACACATGAGCATACACACGAGCACACACAACGAGCACATACACACACAAGCACACACAAGAGCACATGCATACATAAGCACACACAGGAGCACACACACACATAGCACACACTGGAGCACACACACTCATGAGCACACACATACACACACACACAGACACACACGTGACTACAGGCTGAGAGAGCCTGAGAAGCTGGGACAGAGAGATGCAGAAGGTGGACTTGGGAAGAGTGGCTCCAGGCATCCTCTTTCCTTCTCTCTCCATCCTGCCTGCCGTCTCCATCCCCCCACATCCCCCTGCCCCCAGTGTGGGCAGCCTGAACACTTGGCTGTGTGGGTACAGGGAGGCATGGCTGTGTGGTAACTGAATCAGACATTATGGACCACCTGCAACGGCCAGGAAGGCATACTGTGGGTGGTCTTGGGCAGTGGGAATGACGACTTGCCCACAAAAGGGACCAGAATGTGGTACCGCTAGGGTCCTTGAAATTTGCCTCTTCTGATGCTGGCTAATGCCCACGT